TCTCGATTTTACACCTGAAAATGCATTGCACTCGGATTGCACTAGATTGTGTTCATGCGCAATGGACTGTTGTATTAAACATGTTCTGGTTTTGATTCGGTTGGTCGGTCTGGTAGAGCAAATTAGCTTGCCGTGGTCTGGCGGTCTGACGTGTTGTAAGGAAGCCTGGAGCTCCCTGCGCTTGTACTCCTGTTGTGTTGTATAACAGCGTCTGCTCGGCCTCCTGCATAATGCAAGTCTCATGTCATGGCTGATCTGCTCCGCGTTCTCTGCTGTTTGGACTGTTGGGATGTCAGATGCTGATAAACGGATGCACGATTGGTGAAAAAGAGGTCTATTTGCACAGCGCAAACTTTCACAGAGCGTTGAAATTTAAGGCAAGAGACTCCACACTGTGAAAAATATGTTAATTGACAACGTACTTTGTGTTTTGCAAGTGTCTGTTTATTTACTGTTGTGAATTGCATTATGGGATGTCAGTCTCTGCTCCGGTCACTTTTGATGTTGAAAATTCACCTCTACAGTTTTAACAGAGTGACTTTTATTTACATGTCAGAAATAATAAAGAGAGGAATAAGTTTGTTAAATAACAGAAAATGTACTGGTGGTTTATTAGAAGGGTTTTGTAGCATAGTATACAGCACCAACCCAGATGGTATATCACTTCAAACTAGGGTTGTCACGATACTGGAATTTGGTACCAACCAGTATTGAAATTTTAAAAACGACCATTTCCTGCTAATATTTGAGCGCGTTCTTAAAGGTGCAGTATATAAGTTTGACACCCAGTGGTTAAACTAGGTATTGCATTCCTGGATCAAAACAAACACAAGCGCAGGTTGCCAGATTGAGGAGCGAGTCTGACTATTGAGCCAAAAAGCTGATTTAAGTCGTGTTCTATATAAAAGCAACGGCACATGATAGAAGAAATGAAGAGTTTAGATGCAAAACCCTCTAAATCCATCAGAAATCTTTTCTTGTAAATGAGCATTTTCTATCAGGCTCCTCTGATTAGGTTCATAAGTTTTATATTATATGCAATGATAAGGTTATTAGCCAGTAAATACAAAAACTTAAAAAATGTCTCTTTAGACAATTCTTTATTTTTTTTAACGAGGTAGATTTTCTTTTGCGTCAACAACAGCCAAATCCACTTGTGCTTTTTATGCAAAAACCTCTAAATCCACCTATTGAGACAAGACAGTGTTATTAGCTGAAAAATCACCAAAGATGCAACTAGAGATTATTTTACTAAACATAAAACACATTACACAAACCACCTGAAATTAAAAATATATAAATCTGTCAAGTAAGGGGCGGTTCATTCCACTGTGATTAAACCAGGGCAAAAGCAGAAGAAAAATAAATGAATGAAATCTGTCAAGTGTGTGCATTAATCACATTAAAACAGACATTAATTAATAAATCTGAACAATCTGTTGTCATTTCTGATATTTGGGATTTAGATTTAATGTAAGTAGAGCAATGCAAACATTGTAAACTAAGCTTGGTAAAATCAAATAATGTTGTGTAAAACATTATGAAACATCAATATCTGTGCATTGTCCATTAATATAAAAAGCTTATCAGACATACATGTATTATGAAGTAATATAAATAATGTAGTATTAATATTTATCTTTAAAAAATAGCTTAAATTAGCAAATAAAACACAAGGTGGGCCTCCTGGACAAAAAGAGGATGCCTTTCAGACAATTTAAAAAGCTGTCATTCATTCATTCTTACCATACTTAAGATTTTGGTGTCTTGTTTATCCTCTTAGGATTTACATGGGATAAAAAAAAAACGGCATCTTAACTCCGTCTTTCCTAAAACACAGTTGCCGTTTGATGTATAGTAAATCGAACTCGTTTAAAGTAGCGTCGCTGCGCAAATAAACGTTATGTATGTATGTTGCACTGCCGACTGTACATTGTGTTTTCTTTTTCTTATAATGCACAAAATGAGACTAGAATAAATATGGGTTGTACAAATGTTAGATTTCTTCATTTAGCGTTATCAGCCACAGTAGGAGTAACAGTCAATTTTTCTGAATATTTTACCGTTTATTTTTATTCATCTGATTTATTCTTCATTTTTTTTATTTTTTATTTTGAAATTACATCCTCTAAGATCTGCTTGTTAAACCAAAAGTGTCTTGTGTTGCTGTTTTTGTAATAAATAGAAAAAGCAAATTACATTTGTCTCCTCTTTTTGGCTGATCGAAAGAATTGTCGGATCCGTGACTGAAAACCATAATGTGATCCGAACCATGAGATTTTTGATCCGTTACACCACTGCTCAACAACAATATAGCATATTTCCCAGCCCTAATTGTAACTGAAGACATTTTGATTGTTGTAAATCGCGTGAAGTCTGGAGTAAGTACTACTGAAGTAATGATTTCTAAGACTTGAAACAAAATGCTATCAAAAAGTCAAACCCGCCCCAAGATCTCAGTTTTTCAGTGCATGAAAAATTGTTAGACAGTGCCGTGCTTGTTGTGTCTTGCCTTAATGTCAGCATAGTCCAAATTGACCATGTAATTTTTTTAACGAATTAGACTTTTCAGTTTAGTCTGGAGTATTTCACTTCATTGAGTAGTCAGTCAAGTTGTTCAGAGTGACCTTCTGTTATGTTCTGCAGACGAAGGAATGTTGATAACCAAACACTTCTTTGTTCCTTTTATACTGTGGTGTGACAAAGTGTTTGCCCCCTTACTGATTTCTTATTTTATTTCTTATCTTAGCATGTTTGTCACACTTTAGAGGGCCATGAAACCCCCCATTTCAGCAGGGGGTTGTCACACCTCTAGTTTGGAAAAAGTCAGGAAAGTGGGTGTGTCTGGCTCTGTTTGGGTGGGAGTGTCGGGGGAGGGAAAAGGGGAAGGATTTGAATAAAAATGGGAGTGGGCATGCGCTGATTTTCACTGAGGAAAAACAAACACACACGCAGGGGAGAAAGACAGTGGGTTTAATGACGGTAGAATGTTTGATACTGCACGTCGTATACGAGAAAAAAAACCTCGGTAACACGGATGCACACAGTAGGTCAAAGTCGTGTGTGAGTAGATAGTCTTGTCACAAAATGCGGCGAAAATTCAACACGACGGTCGGCAATAGTTTGCTTGCGGTGTTCAGGTATTTACACTCGGAGAGCAGCATATACAGCAGATCTTTCAGCCCATGATATTGCAGTGATGTTAACGTAAACTAAGTAACTTAGAAATCATTTTGACTAAGGTCTGTCTTTAAACACTGAAAGAATACTGCTGACGATACCAACTATAACTTTGCCATCTGAATGAACAAAGAAAGGGCGCTGATCACACACACTTACCAAATCTGTAGAGACAGGATAATCAACACATACTGTAGCTGCGTCTATATTAAAAGGAGACAAGCAGCAAATTCAGATTTCACAATTTCCAGATGAGAAAAGCTCGTGAGTCTAGCAGCGCTCTGATAGAGAGAAAATGAAAACAAAACCTTTGTTGCAGCACATTATAAACACAACACTGACCACCCGTATCTCCAAACAATTCTTATTCTTGTCCCACTTCTTTTGGCAACACAACGTGGCGTCTCTCTGCCGTCTGAACAGGTACTGGTACTGTCTTCAAAGCTAGCATGCATATTAATGAAGTTGGGTTGCATGCATAATAGAGCGCGCTGATTGGTTTAAACCAAGTCTTACTCATGAATCAATGCAACACACTCAGAAACGTAATACGGTACTCCCAGGTACAGACATCCAGTCTACATGCTGGAATACACGTTAAGAGTCCCTCATACACAGTGAGCTTAATATAAAAGCTTATAAATAAGGTAAAACTCTCTCTTTGTTTCCCATTTTCAAAATAAGAGCCCCAAAATACATGCATAGTGGGTTTAATATAAGCTTTTATAAACTTAAAAATAAGGTAAAAGTCTCTCTGTGTTTGTCGTTTTCAAAATAAGAGTCTGACATACATACTTGGTGAGTTTAAAATAAGCTTAGATACAGTTAAAAATAAGGTAAAATGTTTTTTTAGCTACTGATATATATTGAATATAACCATACAGAAACGGTAGTATAGTAATAATAGTAATAATGGTTCATTCTGCTGTGGCGACCCCGGATTAATAAAGAGACTAGGCCAACAAGAAAACGAACGAATATTATACTATATTATATTATACTATATTATATTATACTATATTATATTATACTATATTATATTATACTATATTACATTATACTATATTATATTATATTATACTATATTATATTATACTGTATTATATTATATTATACTATATTATATTATACTATATTATACTATATTATATTATACTATATTATATTATACTATATTATATTATATTATACTATATTATATTATACTATATTATATTATACTATATTATATTATACTATATTATACTATATTATATTATACTATATTATACTATATTATATTATACTATATTATACTATATTATATTATACTATATTATATTATACTATATTACATTATACTATATTATATTATATTATACTATATTATATTATACTGTATTATATTATATTATACTATATTATATTATACTATATTATACTATATTATATTATACTATATTATGTTATATATATATATATTATATTGAATATTTAGATTTAGCTACTGATGACTCGGCTGGTCCAGCTGACGTAGAACATGGTATGCAGAGGGCGTGCTAATTAACAGTCCCATGTGCAACGCAACAGTCTATTTTGTTGTGATAGGCCTGTTTTTCACTGGGGTTTCACACTCGTGGGATTTACATGAGAACCAGGAAACAATGGTGTTTGAGCCTATGATGTTACGGTATGGCCATTTCCATATACGGATCTCTTATAATTCAACTGTGCCTAGGTTTGCCCAGATTTTTACTATATGGCACCTTTAACCAGGTTGGATTTGATTGGGAGATTGTTCAGCTCATAATTTCCGATGTTCTTTAATTTCTGTTTTTTAGGTTGCTGAAGCCCTTCGGAAGCAGGTCTGGATCAGTACCGTCTGCGCGGGCCCTAAGTGGGCTGGCACGACCCGTCCTGAACACCCCCGAGCGTCAGACGGGCATCGGGGACCACATTACATGCCGGCGATTTTTCTTTTCTTTGATTTCCCCCTTTAGGTTTAGCTTTCTTCTTTCCCCCTGGAAGCTCTTTGGTCGATCGAGAAGAGCAGAGGAGATTTTCCCCCTAGTGTGGCAGCCGGGCTGCTCCTGCACACACAGATGAATGAAGACCCCATTCGGGAAGAACGCGGCCCAGAGACCCAGAGCTGATGCAGGTCAGAGCCTCTCTGGAGCGTTGATTCAGGATCATCATCATCATCTCGCATCTGTGATTAATATTTGTGCTCTCTGTGATTGAAGGGCATCCTGGTGTCTCTGCAAATATGATGAAGAAAAAGAACTCTCATAAGTAAGTCTCATTATATTATATTATATTATACTATACCATATTATATTTTTCTATATTATATTATACTATGGCGATGCAGTGGCGCAGTAGGTAGTGCTGTCGCCTCACAGCAAGAAGGTTGCTGGTTAGAAACTCGGCTCAGTTGGTGTTTCTGTGTGGAGTTTGCATGTTCTCCCTGCGTTCGCGTGGGTTTCCTCCGGGTGCTACAGGTGAATTGGGTAGGCTAAATAGTCTGTAGTTTACAGTACATACAGTAAATTATATGAGTGTGATAGTGTGTGGATGTTTTCCAGAGATGGGTTGCGGCTAGAAGGGCATCCGCTGCGTAAAAACATGCTGGATAAGTTGGCGGTTCATTTCGCTGTGGCGACCCCGGATTAATAAAAGGACTAAGCCGACAAGAAAACGAACGAATATTATATTATATTATATTATATTATATTATATTATATTGTATTATATTATACAATATTATTTTATATTATATTATACTATATTATGTTAATTAATATTATACTATATTAAATATATATATATGTATGTATGTATGTATATATATATATATATATATATATATATATATATATATATATATATTTATTTATATATATATATTTATTTATATATATATATATTTATTTATATATATATATTTATTTATATATATATATATTTATTTATATATATATATTTATTTATATATATATATATATATTTATTTATATATATATATTTATTTATATATATATATATATTTATTTATATATATATATTTATTTATTTATATATATATATATATATATATATATATATATATATATATATATATATATATATATATATATATATATATATATAATACTATATTACATTATATTAAATTATACTATATTATATTATAGTATATTATTAGGCAAGTTATGGGAAAATTCACAGATTTTTAGCCCATCATTGAGTCTCTTTATTTTCTTCTGTAAATGTGTGTAAATTTTTATTTATTTTATTTTTTTATCTTATTTCAGTAATATTATTGACTAATTTCAAAAATGTTCACATGATTTATTTGCAATATAGTTTGTAAAGTATTATTTTCTATCTTTTAATTTATATATTATATGAGAGACTTGCTTTGTTTAGCAAATAAGAGGATCTTGTTGGATTTGCATTGTACACATTAAATAAAAGTTTTTTTTTAATTTCATATATTAAGTTACGATACTCCCAAAACCACTCCGCATAAATCGCAGATTTTTTACAAAATTCTATGCAGAAATAGCAACAAATGTCTGCAGATTCTGCCTGGCCCTAGTTATGGGCTAGTTGATGCATTATTATTATGTTATCGAATTAATTAATTAAGGCTGACAATAATTTTATTGCAAGTTAACACAGTATTTTTATTACTTATTATCACTTTAATATTTATTATTATTCCACTGCTCACTGGTTCTGATTTATACACTGTGTTCTGAACACACACAGAGAAACCACTGTTTCTCTGTGTGTGTTCAGAAGCATGACAGAACCCGCTATTAAAAACATGAATGACTCAAACATACATCAATGAATGATGCACATCCCGTGCTGCAAACATTAAATCACAGCACATGCTTTTAGTCATTTTCATGTGAAACTAAGCTTTGCAGAGCAACAAATGTGTACAACTGTCACTTTCTATAACAGAAATGTATCTATTTTTTTTTCCTGAGGGGTGATGTTGAATTAAATTGATGATGTTGAAATGTTGAATTGGCATACGTCCCGGAGACCGGATGTTCCCCACCCCTGCCTTAAGGGAACAGTTCACTCAAAGATTAAAATATACTCACTATTTACTCACACTTCACTTGTTTCAATACTATAAAAGTTATTCAATTATATTATTTTTATGTTCATTAAAAAAAAAAACTCATAATGTTTGAAATAAGTGAAGGGTGTAATGAAGATGCTAAGTCATTTTAGGGTGAACTATCTCTCTAAAAATGCATGCAGATGATAAACGTTTACTCCATTATGATTAAACTCTGTATCAAACTATAATCTCAACATTGCATTTCCTGTGATGTGACTTTTACGGATGCACACATTGCAATATCAATGCTGAAATTATATTTTGTGCAGCCCTAACTTGACTATAGGTCAGTTGTATTTACTTCTATGCTGTCCTTGGCCTAAAACTTGCTCTCACATTGTTAGTGCTGCGTCAGCATTGTCAAAATCAATTTTACATAGATATAAAAGCAAACTCAAACAAAATAGATTGTTGCGTGTTCTTTGATATGCTGTAATAAATTTGAACGTCATTGTTTTTATTATTATTTACCCTGTATGTGTAGACATTACATGAAACATTACGTCATGAAAATGTACTTAAAAGTTCTGGAAAACTCTTGGAGTTTAAGTAGTAAAAATTAGTGAATGAACCCTGCTATAACTTATACATGTGTGATGACGATACATTTGTCTAATCTAGTCTCGTCTAATGTAAAATGCTGATTCGTGTCTGCTCTGATCTTCTGTCAGGAAACACAAAACCAGCGTAGGCCCCACTAAAGCCGTGGCTCAGCCCAGGAGGAACATTGTGGGCTGTCGGATCCAGCACATCTGGAAGGAGGGCAGCGGCGCTGCGTCCCAGTGGAAGGGCACCGTTTTAGACCAGGTGCCCGTGAACCCCTCGCTCTACCTGATCAAATACGACGGCTTCGACTGCGTCTACGGCCTGGAGCTGCACAAGGATGAGCGGGTGCAAGGCCTGGAGGTCCTGCCAGACAGACTAGGTACATCATTCGGGTCACTGAGCGCAGGATAAAAGCTGATAGTATTCGTGCGTTGCTGGTTCGAGTCCAGGCTGGGTCAGTTGGCATTTCTGTGCGGAGTTTGCATGTTCTCCCTTTGTTGGCTCCAGATGCTCCGGTTTCCCCCACAGTCCAAACACATGTGCTTTAGGGGAATTGGGTAAGCTTAATTGGCCGTAGTGTATGGGTGTTTCCCAGTACTGGGTTGCAGCTGGAAGGGCGTCCGCTGTGTAAAACATATGCTGGAATAGTTGGCGGTTCATTCCACTGTGGTGACCCCAGATGAATAAAGGGACTAAGCCGATGAATATAGGTGGATGGAAACTTGGCTAAAACTCCTGTCTCTGCTGCTCATTGTTTTGTCTTCGGTGTTTCAGCTTCGACGCGCATCAGCGACGCTCATCTGGCCGACACTATGATTGGCAAAGCAGTGGAGCACATGTTCGAGACGGAGGACGGCACCAAGAACGAGTGGAGAGGGATGGTTCTGGCCCGAGCGCCCATCATGAACACATGGTTCTACATCACGTATGAGAAAGACCCGGTGCTCTACATGTACCAGCTGCTGGACGACTATAAAGACGGAGATCTGAGGATCATGCCGGACTCCAGTGAGTGTGTTCGTCTGTGCTGACACACTGCAAAATCTGTGCTCATATTCACAAAACATTTTATGACTTAAGCCCCGGTCAGATCACAAAAGTCACTGTCAGATTATGTGTATTTTGTTTTGATTGAAATCTTGACTTGAGGGTAATAAATGTGTCAGACTCCACGTTCCTTCATGATCAGTCATCCCGTGACGTCAACAATGAGCGATATTTCCCAAAGCAGTCACAAGTGTTGCTAGAACAATATTTCTTTTCCTAATTTCAATGTTTGTTTGTTTTTTAATCTTATTTCAATCTCATTAAACACTGATGCTTGGTGATAACTAGGCTATAATAAGGACATTCATTACAACATGGATAGGATCAAACGTACAATTGCTTTTTAATATTTAGATATTTTATCTGAAATCTAAATGTATATGTTCCTGCTTATTAAACACTGCCTCGCCTGAACTTCCATGAGTGAGACAGAGAAAATTAAAGCTAATCAGCAACTAGGAAAACTAAAATGTTCAAGACAAAATCTTTAAAATAATGACATAATGAAAAAATGTGCAAACATATACACAGCTTCACTGTGACAACAGTCACAGTGAAGCATTCAGTAAATCCTTACTTTCCATTAAACAAAACAAATCATCCACCCGTATAGTTGAGTAGTGGATGGGCACAAACTAAAATATAATTTGTATATTTTTCTTGAAAAAAATAATATTTTTGAAAAAAATTAATTTATTAATTTGTATCTTAATTTTAATGCATCTTTTGACATGAAATTAACCCGAAAATAAATGAAAGAGAATTAGACAATTATAATTTTGAGACCAGGCATGATCAAACCGTCTATACTAGATGTCGAATTGGACATTCCAGGTTGACTCATTCGTATCTACTCAATAACGAAGACCCACCTAAATGTAATTGCTGTCAGGCTGCTCTTACTATCCAACAAATGTACACCATTTTTATAAGGAGAGCACTTTGTTGGACCTTTTTAAAAAGGTACGACCAGGAAGAATCTTAAATTATTTATCAAACATTGAACTGAAAAATCATATTTAACTTTGAATATATATTTTTATGTGAATTTTATTTATTTATATTTTACATATTGCTGTCGCCTCACAGCAAGAAGGTCGCTGGTTCGAACCTCGGCTCAGTTGGTGTTTCTGTGTGGAGTTTGCATGTTCTCCCTCCGGGTGCTCCGGTTTCCCCACAGTCCAAAGACATGCGGTACATGTGAATTGGGTGGGCTAAATTGTCCGTAGTGTATGAGTGTGTGTGTGAATGTTTCCCAGAGATGGGTTGTGGCTGGAAGGGCATCGGCTGCGAAAAAAAACTTGCTGGATAAGTTGGGGGTTCATTCCGCTGTGGCGACCTTGAATTAATAAAGGGACTAAGCCGACAAAAAAAATGAATGAATGAATGAATGAACTTTTTATTGTAATACGAATTTGTTTTTAGCATGTAATTTTTTTATGTATGTGAGCAATTCCAGCGTTATGGATGTGACATTTGCAGTAAAAACTCAGAAAACATATGGTAACATTATATTGAAACATCTGTTTATATTTTCCAAAACAACTCACCACAGAGTTATAGGGTCAGAAAAATATCAATTTGTAAACGTGTTTTATATTTTAAATGAGGAAAATAAACATGCGTTATGGATGTGACAACAAAAGTTTGCGAATTTACAGTCTACAACAGACTGTGTAGAAATTCAGTCAGTTAAACTGCACACTCCAAAAGAAACAATGCTAATCAAACAGGTATGAGTCGGCTCACTATAGAATTAAAATTATTGATTTTATTTTATTTTACATTTTTGCATTTATGAGGAAAAAGTGCCGTTATGGATGTGACACTTTTTCCGTTATGGATGTGACAGCTGTGAAATTGCCACTTGTGTGATTTTGGCAAATTAAATATAATAGTTTAAAATACTGACAGATACATTTATGAGTATTAAAAGTAGTGTATTTATTTAAAGTAGTGTAAAATACTTGCTAACACAAAAAATGTAGAAACTGTTTCTCTATTTTGGTGAAAACTAAATGATTTTTTTATGGCAAGGTTGACATTTGCATGGAATTGCTCATGTCCATCTTGCCATGAAATAGCCATAAGTTGCTCATGTGGCAATAAATAAATAAATAACTCGAGCATTTCTCATGCGAGATTGCCGCATGACTAATATGATTCTGCAGATGAATAAAATATCGCAAATTGAAAATGGTTGGTCAGTTTATTATGCTACTGTAAGTAGTGTTTATTCAGCAATAGTTCTCCAGTACCGATAGCAGAACCAGTAACTTCAGAGCTTATCCATACTTAAATGTAGCACCGATAAAGTACCAAGTTTCGGTACCTTCCCTAGTCATGAGGCGTCGCAGGCATGGTATCGGTTGTCGTGAACTACGCCACATTACATAAGAAGAAACAATTGAACCTTGTATTACGACACCCTTTTGACGTTTACGAATCCCCACAGCACCCTACGTCAAGGAAATCACAACAAATTCATGTGATCTAACCGGGGCTTAAGAGTGCTCACACAGACGTAATCATAGGATTTAACTGAAAACAAACAGGAAGTGCATTTTCAGATCTTAATTAAAGATTACAAGGGCAAACTAATGCTTTTTTAATGACATGCACAGATTAATTATTTACCCCAAAACTAGCAATATGAGCTAGCAACATCAATATTGTTGGCTTTGATTTTTTATCTGTACATATGTATATACCCTGTTCAAGAGCGCTGTGTGTGTGTGTGTGTGTGTGTGTGTGTGTGTTCCAGACGACTCTCCCCCAGCAGAGCGAGAGCCCGGAGAGGTGGTGGACAGCCTGGTGGGCAAGCAGGTGGAATACGCCAAAGAGGACGGCTCTAAACGAACTGGCATGGTCATCCATCAGGTGGAGGCCAAACCCTCCGTCTACTTCATCAAGTTCGATGACGACTTTCACATTTACGTCTATGATCTGGTCAAAACATCGTAGGCAGCGGGGAAAAAAACAAGGAGAGGGAGTGTTCGAGTAATCATGTGATCCACACAAACGTTTTTTGCCAAAAGTTCTCTCAAACATTTCTCGTAACATCTTTTTTGGGAACGGAACGGTGGATGTTTCGCTGGATTACCGCTAGTCAAGTGTCTCTTATCGTTGTAGGATGAACGGACATCACGCATCCCCCGACATACACATCGCTACATATTTCAGAGGTTCGTCTTCAGCATTTCCCATTGCTTTCCGTTATCACACACACACACATGCTTGCGCACGCAGAGTCGTGTTGGTGACTCGTTCATCAGTCGGACTGTTACAGCTTCCCAAATGATATCCAAGCTAGTGTTTGCGGTCCTGAGGACGAAATGAAGCAAACCTTAGGAGCACATGAGGGTCCATGAAAAAAGGCGAGCTGAGAGTGTGTGTGTGTGTTTTAAAGTGCCAGGAGGAGGAGGGCAGGAAAACGTTCATGTGCTTTACTGTTTTTGGTGAATCCCTCCGTCTTCTGGCGCACACCAGCTCCGCCGTCAATGACGTCGTGTCAAACCCCATTTTTTTAATGTATTTTTGTTTTCTACTTTTATTTTATATCAATATATCTATATATATGTACATGTATCACCACCACGAGAAACGCTAAAGCAGCCTTCATTATTTCAAGCACTAAATTTAGGGTTTTTTGTTGTCCTTTGTGCTCCCCTAACTTGTTTTTTAGCAATTTAAAGGGTTAGTTCACGCAAAAATGTCAATTTACTCACTATTTACTCGCCCTCAAGTGGTTAATTTTATTTATTTTTTTCTTCTGTTGATCACTAAAGAATATATATTAAAGAAAGCTGAAAGCCTGTAACCATTGACCTCCACTATGGAAGTCAATGGTTACCGGTTTTCTGCCTTCTTCAAAGTATCTTCTTTTGTGTTCAGCTTTGAACCATCAAAATAAGTAAACAAAGACAAGATATTCCATTTTGGGGTGAACTATCCCCTTTACTAACATTTTTGCGATTAAATCTTAGCCAACGGGCTACTAAAAGTGCATTTTCTAGCGTATTATGGTGTAGATAATGGGTTTATAGTGTTTTAACTCAAGATTTTGCCTCGAATATCGCACCCTGGCAAGTATTCAGTGATGTTACACAAAACGAATCGCACAAAGTGTTCAATCACACACACACCGGTTATAAAAGCGCCGACGCAATAAGAAAGACGAGTATTCAGGAGTTTAGTTTTGCACCCGTTGTTTTTCTTTAGATCAGCCTTGGGGAGATTTCTCTGTCGCTTTGCCTCTCTGCGAGCCTAAAACATTTGTGCCTCGATTATTATTACTGACTTTTCTTTTTATCTTTGTGTGTGTGTGTGTTTTGTCTGAAGGTTTGTGTGTCCCCATTAGACCCTGTGTGAAGGCCCTGCAGCTGCATGTGTTTGCATTACGCGTTCGTTTCTGTTTTAACGTTTCACACACTTATACACACACACACACACACACACACACATTCTCAAGTGTCATGAAGCTGTCGTTCGCCAGACGCACAAATCATATTTCACCCCAAAATCTAATTATTTTGCAAATAGTAATACCTCACTGTAAGAATAAATAAACTAATTCAGATTTTCCACATGACATGCATTAAAAAAAGATTCATTCTGGCAACAAAACTGTACATTTCTTACAGGAGTAATGAGAATGAGGGGTTTGACTGTGTTCATTATCTAAAAAAATGGCTACAAGATATTAATGCTTACATACAAATGGCGTGATTAATTATCGAATGCCAAAAAGCTTTAGTGTAATGTCCACACACTTTCTGTTAAATATTAATAGTCCTTGTTTTTGGCATTAAGGAAAATACTGTCAATTATTTTTTTGACATTTAAATACGTTTGACTCATTCTCCATCGCAGCATTTTTAAAATACTTCATATTTCATCCAAAAACCCTTCTTTATGATCAGCAAATAGCTCAATCTTTCTAATCTTTATATTTAAATCATCATTTTTGACGATAATGAAACTATTCTGTTTATTATTTTCCTGAAATTTGCAGTAATGCAGCATTTTTCCGATCTTCATATCTCATTCAGAAACCTAGGAAAAAAGCAAATACTTTCACGTAATGCAGCGTAATCTTGTCCACGCTATCGGCATTAAGCTAAAAATAATTAAATCGACGTTTTTGACATTAACGAAAGTATTCTGTGTGTGAGTTTGAAAAAAACATTTAATGTAATGCAGCGTCAACTTTAATTTAGTCCACATAATCGGCTTAAAGCTAAATATTAGCTATAAATATTTAAATAGTCATTTCTGACATAAAAAATATTTATTGTCAATTTGTTTTCCTTATTCTTTAATGTAAAAATCTACTATAATGCAGCATTTTACAAACACACACTCATGTCTCATCCAGAAACCTTGCAAAGAAGATTTAATGTAACGCAACGTCAACTTTAATTTAGTTCTCTTAATAGGCAGGAAGCTAAATATTAGTTATAAATATTAGTTATAGTCATTTTTGACATTGACGAAGGTATTGTCAACTCTTTTCTTGGCGTTTGAGCACATTTTCCTCATTCTTTAAGGTAAAACTCTACTGTAATGCAGCATTTCTCAAACACACATTCATATCTCATCCACAAACCTACAATCTTCAGCAAATAGCTCAATCTTTCTGTTTTATATATTTAAATCATCATTTTGGACATTAATAACACTATTCTGTTTATTATTTTCCTGAAATATGCAGTAATGCAGCATTTTTACAATACACATTTTCATAACTCATCCAGAAACCTTGGAAAAAAGCAAATACTTTAATGTATCGCAGCGTAATCTTGTCCACGTTATCAGCATTAAGCTAAAAACATTGAAATAATTCTTTTTGACATGAACAAAAATATTGTCAATTATTTTCTTGACATTTTGAGCACATTTTCACTCATTCTCTAAAGTAAAAATGCATTTTACAAACACACACACACACTCATGTCTCATCCAGAAACCTTGCGAAGAAGATTTAATGTAATGCAACGTCAACTTTAATTTAGTTCACGTAATCGGCATAAAGCTAAATCTTTGTTATAAAAATTTAAATAGTGAAATTTGACATTGATAAAAGTATTGTCAATTATTTTAGTCACATTTGAGCACGTTTTCCTCATTCCCCATCATAAAAATCTACTGTAACGCAGCATTTTACAAATATACACACATTCATAGCTCATTCAGAAACCTACAATCTACTTCACAATTGACATATAGCTCAATCTTTCTGTTAACATTATTTTTGGACATTAACAAAACTATTCTGCTTATTATTTTTCTGAAATTTGCAGTAATGCAGCATTTTTACAATACACATTTTCAAATGCAGAAACCTTGGAAAAAAGCAAATACTTTAATGTAACGCAGCGTAATCTTGTCCACGTTATCGGATTAAACCTACGAACATCGAAATCGTTGTTTTTGACATATTTGAAAATATTCTGTGTATTATTTTCCAGACATTGAGCACGTTTTCCTCATTCTCTAACGTAAAAATCTACTAGAATGCAGCATTTTACAAACACACACACTCGTATGTCTTCCAGACACCTTGCAAGGATTTAATGTAACGCAACGTCAACTTTAATTTAGTTCATGTAATCGGCATGAAGCTAAATCTGTTGTATTTAAATAGGCGTTTTTGAAATTAACGAAAATATTGTCAATTATTTTCTTCACATTTGAGCACTTTTTACTGTAGTACAACAATAAATACATGTCGCTCGTAACCCACATTACTATGAAGGATTCTTTATGTACAGTAATGCCTATTACAGTATTGTACAGCCTACCATAAAATAAAAACAAACAATACCCAGCAAACTATTTTGTGTTTAATAGACGTCTAATAGACATCAAAATGTAGACCGTTTGGCTTAAACAAGGCTAAACTTGGGCTGTCAGTGAAAATCTAACAGACGTCTAAGAACAGCCCAAAGCTGGACTAGTCGTCGATTACACAGACGTTATATGTGCAAACAATAACTTCTGTTTATTTGAAGACTCGTCTAGTTTGCGACTATTCTAGGATGTCTATTAGATTTTCACTGACAGCTCAAGTTTAGCCTTGTTTTAGCCAAGACGACTATGTTTAGACGTCTGTTAGACATCTTTTAAAAACAAAAAAAGCTTGCTGGGTATAGAACTACAAAATATATTCACAAAAATGACCAAATTTTGGGGTGAAATGTGACATTAGCGATGCCTTTTCGTAACAATCACCCGGCGCAGTGCATATTCGTGATCTCCATTTCTTATTTTGACCTTAAAACCTTAATACAGACGACTTGCTACTCGTCCCGGGACTCCCGTTCAACGTTTCCCATCCACCGAGAAAGCAAAGGTCGCTATTTTTATTCCCGCCGCAGCTACAGACGGACGACGGACGTGTCAATATGCAAACGGATTCCCCTCAGAAAAGACATCTTCATGGGATTGGCCTTTATTTTTTACATGTACCTACTGTAGTATTGTACTGTGTTTTGATGTCAGGTCGACGTGGGAAATTTAACGCGATTAAAAAAAAAAAAACGACAACGACGAAAACTAGACCGTTCTTTTTGCATGATATGAGTAGAGTTGTTATCGTACGTTAGTGTGACGCATGTGTACCCGTCTTATTTTGTTTGTTTTGTTCATTTGTTTGTTATTTTCCCGCCCTAAATGAAAGGTTCTGTTTATTGTGTTGCTAATCGTGACGTTTCCGTTCTCCGGTTCTGGTTTTGAATCCATTTCGAAGTTAAAAATGACAAAAACAAACGAAAAAAAAAAGTAAACGAAAGTATTTTTTATTTCTGCTATGCTCTATACGAACAAAATGCACTGGTGTTGTGTGTGTCGTGCCAATCCAAGGCAGGTGCCAGTGTTAAACAGCATTTGAGGGATCATATACTTTTTGACACAGTACCACCGTTCTGCTACAGGACGAGATTTATTCGTTTTTTAACGAAGAGTGCCATATTTAACGAAGAAACAGGCCTTATACGCGATTGATCGGGACGGAATCTATAAGCGCGTGCATGACTGAACTAACATATCTAATTCAACCTTGTAGAATTAGAGTAAAAAGTTGCACACGGCGTAGAGAGAATTGAACGTATGGTCCCTTTAAGATGCTGTTGCTATTTAATGACTTTGTATAAAAACGAAACGAAAAAGACTAGAAAAGAATGGAGAAAAATGCAGTGCAATTTGATGATTGTTGCAGATACATGTATAGTTTCATGTTATTTCACGTATGATAAATGGCTTCTATTGGACCGAATCTGTTCTTCTTCTTTTGTTTGTTTTTTTACATGTAGATAGTTCATTTTATTTTCATTTAAGTATAAACACATTTTAAAACCTGTTAATTCATTAAGTAATTTTTATAATTATTATGTAAGTCTATCCTTATAAGATTAAAAAAGTTAATGTGAAATTATACACGCGTGTCTGGATCTTTTGCTAATTTGCTGCCTTTGATTGCACTAATGAATAATAATTCAGATTTGAGTGTCAACATTCACTCACCGACCACTTTATTAGGTACACCTCTCCGACTGCTGGTTAACGCAAATTTCTATTCAGTCAATCACATGGCAGCAACTCAATGCATTTAGGCATGTAGACATGGTCAAGACGATCTGCTGCAGTTCAAAGCGAGCATCAGAATGGGGAAGAAAGCTGATTTGAGTGACTTTGAATGTGGCATGGTTGTTGGTGCCAGATGGGCTGCTCTGAGCATTTCAGAAACTGCTGATCTACTGGGAATTTTCACACACTACCATCTCTAGGGTTTACAGAGAATGGTCTGAAAAAGAGAAAACATCCAGTGAGCGGCAGTTCTGTAGGCGCAAATGCCTTGTTGATGCCAGAGGTCAGAGGAGAATGGCCAGACTGGTTCCAGCTGATAGAAAGGCAACAGTAACTCAGATAAGCACTCGTTACTATCGAGATCTGCAGAAGAGCATCTCTGAACACACAACACAGCCAACCTTGAGGCGGATGGGCTACAGCAGCAGAAGAGCACACCGGGTGCCGCTCCTGTCAGCTAACAACAGGAGACTGAGGCTACAATTCACACAGGCTCACCAAAACTGGACAATAGAAGATTGGAGAAATGTTGCCTGCTCTGAGTCTACATTTCTGCTGACACATTCGGATGGTCGGGTCAGAATTTAGCATCAACAACATGAAAGCATGGATCCATCCTGCCTAGTACCTACTGTTCAGGCTGGTGATGGTGGTGTAATGGTGTGGGGGATATTTTCTTCTTCTTATTATTATTATTCATGAGCGTTAATCATGAATAATAGCAAACAGAATAATAGCAAATAATAGCTCTGTCAGCAAACAGAAGTCGAACATAACGTTAGGTTATTAATATTCATGAGCCGACGTCACCACTGTAGGTAGGGGTTTGTAAATACGTGTCCCCTCAGCCAAAAGTGGTCAGATGTTTCGCAGGATAATCTTCAGACAACTTTTTGCGACACAAAACGATACTTTAAGGAACGTAAAGAGCAGTCGAGAGCCTCTAGCGATGGTCGAGGTGTTTTCAGGCCGGACGATGGTGAATAAAGAAGAAATATGGTGGAGCCGTTTAGTAATTTATTAATACTATTTATTTATTTTTACAAGATGGCAACAAGTATGTAATTCTTTATGCGTATTTAAATTTAATTAACTTAAAATTAAAGAAATATCAATTACCTTTTCTCCCGCCAACTGTAGCGTTTACTCATTTATTATTCATGAGCATTAGTCTAAATCAGCCTCTGTCATCAAATCAGAAGTCGAATGTAACGTTAAGTAATTAATATTCATGAGCCGACGTCACCACAGTAGGAAGCGGTTTGTAAATACGCGTCCCCTCAGCCAGAAGCGGTCAGAAGAAGAATCTCAGGATAATCTTTACACGTACTTCAGACAACTTTTTACGACACAAAACGATACCTTAGGGAACGTAAAAAGCAACCGAGAGCCTCCAGCGATGGTCGAGGTGTTTTCAGGCCGGACGCTGGTGAATAAAGAGGGGGATTTGGTGGAGCCGGAGGAGGCGCTCCGCAATAAGGTGGTGGGTCTGTATTTCTCCGCCGGCTGGTGTCCGCCCTGCAGGGACTTCACTCCGCTGCTCTGCGACTTTTACACGGAGCTGGTGGAGGAGACTGAACCGCCAGCACAGTTCGAGATCGTCTTCATATCCTCAGATAAATCCACCGAGGACATGGTGGAGTATTATCACGACATGCACGGAGACTGGCTGGCGTTACCCTGGACAGACCCATACAAACAGTGAGTTCACCATCATGCAAAACTTGAATTGAAGAAAAGTTGATTTAATATTCGCATATTCGTTCATTTTTGTACATTGACAACTTGTGAGACGGTTTCTATAATGTTTACTTCTCTACTCTGAATATTCGGTCTGCAAATGCATGTAAATATGACATCAAAGCATCATTAGCACTATTTCATTGACTGTAAACAGTGTTGTACTTTGATAGTCAACGACTGCTAATATTAATCCAATATTTAGAATTTGCAAAGAAAACTTTTCTGAGATTATATTATTATGGAAAGTTCAAATGTGCGAATATAAAACCAACTTTACCCCCAATAAAACCTGAGCATCAGTGACACAGTAACCTTTCATTACAGCTCTGTGCATGCTAAGAGGTTTAACACACACACACTGACAGGATTATGTTTATAAATAGTCAGTGACAGTGTGTGTAGTTTCATTGAATGTTTGTGTATTTCCACTCATCATAGAAATCTGGCAACATCAATAAATAAATAAAATAAATAAAGAGATGTGTTTTTAAAGGCAATGAAAAGTTCTTGGACGCTTATTTGCAGGTTATAGAGCATACATAGTGAACATTATGCATTTAAATTAATGTAAAGTAATCTCAAAAAATTCAATAAATCCGTTGATTAAATGTGTGGGAATTCTGAATATTATGCAGCCTTTGGATTGATAGTTTATTATTTGTCATGCAGTATTTATGAGTTTGTATTCATTGAAAGACAATAATCTGCTTGTATTTTTGATCGTTAATTTGTCTGATGGCAGAAATGCTGTGTTAAGTTTCATCTTGATGATATTTCTGCCAGCTGACAAATAATCAAAATGAAAAAAGTTCTGGATTTTAATTGTAACTTTACGTTTTTATTTTTTAGCTGTTATTTTGTTTTGTTATTATATTGTAGCTATTTTGTCTCTCTTTTTTATATATTTAATTTTATATATTCTGGTTAAATTTGATAAAACATTCAAATTTATTTTAGATCAAAAGATTATTATTATTATTTTTTATTGATGAGGAATACAAAGTATTATATTTGATAAATTATGACTGTTATAAAATATATCTGTCTGTTAGCATTTGTTTTTCCTACTGTGGAAGTCTATGGTTCCCTGTTTCTAACATTCATCAAAATATCGGAAACCGGTAACCATTGACTTCCATAGGGTTTGTTTTTCCTACTGTGGAGGTGGTGGTTACTGTTTTCCAACATTCATTGAAATATCTGAAACCAGTACCCATTGACTTCAATAGTATTTGTTTTTCCTACTGTAGAAATCAATGGTTACTAGTTTTGTTTATTTGTTGAGGCTGTACATAAAAATAAAAATGTTATAAAATGCCAGTTTTAAAAAAAATAAATCCCATGTTTAAACATCAAGCAGCATAACCAGCTGTTTTTAACACTTTAAAAGGATTGAGAAAATGAGAGTGGAAGCCAGTAAGTTTCCAACAGCTGCACCACTTATGTAAAAGAATAAGGTTGATTATATATTATTATATTCTTTGGTGTAAATCAAATTATGAAAAAAAAAAATTTAAATGAAAAGGATTAGATTTAGTGATTGTTTAATAATTTATTTCCATACAAATGATTTTGCCCACGTTGAAGTGTTTTAAACAGTCAATTCTGATCTGATGTGTGTGTGTGTGTGTGTGTGTGTTGTGAGTTTGATCTGTTTGTGTTTCTCTGCTGTTTCCGCAGTGAACTGAAGAAGAGGTACAACATCACAGCCGTCCCAAAGCTGGTGATTGTGAAGGAGAATGGTCAGGTCATCACTGACAAGGGCCGAAAGCAGATCCGGGATCAGGGGCTGGCCTGCTTCAGGAGCTGGATCGAGGTGGCAGAGATCTTCCAGAACTTTAAAGGCTAGAAATCAGGACGAAAATGCTGCTCTCCGTTTACAAGGGCTCTTTCTATTTTATGCAACAAGCTTTAAACCAGTCTATTTAGGTTAACAGTCCACATGACTAGTCATATCAACAATGCGTTGGTTTGACTTGCTTGTATGTGTTGTGGTAGTGAAACAGAACATTTTTGACAGGTAGTGTATATTTAAGATGCTTTTTCTATTTATTTTTTTATACAGCTGCTTTTCTAAGAATATATTTATACTGGATGAATGTTCTCTGATTAAAGGAATAGTTCTTCGATGGGTACCGGTTTCTAACAATCGTCAAAATATTAAAAACTGATAGCAATTGACTTTCATAGTATTTGTTTTTCCTACTGTGGAAGTCAATGGTTGCCGATTTCCAACATTTGTCAAAATTTACTTCTATAGTATTTGTTTTTCTTACTGTGGAGGTTGATGGTTACCGGTTTCTAACATTTATCAAAATATCAGAAACCAGTAACCATTGACTTCAATAGTATATGTTTTTCCTACTGTGGATGTCGATAGTTACTGGTTTCCAACATTCGTCAAAATATCAGAAACCAGTAAACATTGACTTTAATAGTATTTTTTTTTTCCTACTGTGCAAGTCGATGGTTACCAGTTTCCAACATTCATCAAAATATCAGAACCGGTAACCATTTACTTCAATAGTATTTGTTTTTCCTACTGTGGATGTTGATGGTTACTGGTTTCCAACATTCGTCAAAATATCAGAAACCGGTAACCATTGACTTCAATAGTATTTGTTTTACCTACTGTGGATGTCGATGGTTACCAGTTTCCAACATTCGTAAAAATATCTTCTTTTGTGAAGGGAGAGAAATTAAAGACCAAAATGTTTATTTTAGGGTGAACTATCCCTTTAAATAAATAAATAAATCTGAATTGTACGTGCGTGTGTGTGTGTGTGTGCAGCAGGTGTTTACTAGATCTGTTGTTATGGATCATCAAAATGCCTCTTGTTCCTCCGTGTCTCATTAAAACTCACAGATCCTCCTTGGAGAGTGTTTGTTTTTTTTCTTTCCACCACACTCAGCTCCCTGTCGCTCTCTGTTTTGCTTTCAGTTGTGAAACGAGCGTTGAACCGTTCCTTCATTATATCAACAGTGACGTGACTAATACTGCGCTGAGGGATCATGATTGCTCATACCTCTATATTACACCATACCCAAGCGAGATACCATACTAGGGTAATCTGCAGTTTCAGCTAATTATTAAGCCATTCATATAGTCATTAATAAATACTTTAATAGAATACCTGTGTGTAATGTACAGTTTTTTTTTAAAATTACATTTTAACCTATGTGGCGTCACAATGGTGCTGTGGGAAGCACAATCGCCTCACAGCAAGAAGGTCACTGGTTCTAGCCTTGGCTGGGTCAGTTGCCGTTTCTTTGTGGAGTTTGCATGTTCTCCCCATGTTCGTGTGGGTTTCCTCCGGGTGCTCCAGTTTCCCCACACAAGCCCAAAGACATGCGGTACAGGTGAATTGGGTAGGCTAAATTGTCCGTAGCGTGTGTGTGTGTGTGGATGCTTCCCAGTGATGGGCTGCGGCTGAAAGGGCATCCGCTGCGTAAAACATATGCTGGATAAGTTGGTGGTTCGTTCTGCCGTGGCAACCCCAGATTAATAAAGGGACTAAGCCGAAAAGAAAATAATAGAATAAATGAATACAGACGTTAAAATAGAATCAAAATTCCTCCCATTTTGAGGCCCCTGAGCAACTTCACGTAGGTGTGTGGTTATCCCGCCCACCAATTTGATTGACATGTATAACCATGTCTCCACATTAACGCGCAGTGTTGGGGAGTAACTAGTTATATGTAATGGCGTTACGTAATTTAATTACAATAATTAACAGTAATTTGTTACAGTTATTGAGAGAAAAAATTTGTAATTAAATTACAGTTACTTATGAAAATGTTAAAAAGATTACAAATGGGGTTACATCCAAACATGTTTAATAATATATATCTAGATACTGTGGATTGCAAGATACTAGTATTCCTTAAAGGGATAGTTCACCCAAAAATGAAAATGTACTCACTATTTACTCACACTCAAGTGGTTATAAACCTTTTTGAGATTTTTTTTAACACAAAAGAAGATATTTTAAATAATGCTGAAAACCTGTAATTGTTTACTTCCATAGTATTTGTTTTCCCTATTGAAAGTTACAGGATTTCAGCATTCTTCAAAATATCTTTGTGTGTGTGTGTGTGTGTGTGTGTGTGTGTGTGTGTGTGTGTGTGTGTGTGTGTGTGTGTGAGTGTGAGTGTGAGAGAATGATGACAGAAATTTCTGGGGGAACTATCCCTTTAAGAAGCCTGATAATATTCACCCTGAAATGATTTTAAGAAATTTTAAAAACAGCTTTTATTCCAGTTAAACTAAAACGAAACTGAAATGCTACTGTGAAAGATTCTTCAATCACTCGTACAAACGATGACTTGTGAAAAAATTGACAAAACAGTCCACATTTCACAGGAGGGCTAATAACTAACTTAATTTTGAGTTTCACCTGTTTACTGTCCATGTATTTTCATATCCAGATGAATCATTTCTGAGTTGTATTTGCCGTCGTGTGCAGGTTTCACAGAAAGTACAGTAACGTTAACGTTAGTTAGATCAGTTCAGTTGAACGACCGTCATGTTTTATGACTGAAACTGGCCTCAATGTGAGAGAAACACACCCTGATCATAAAAACTGAGCTGATAAGAGGGTCTAAAGGACGCGGGCCGGACATATTCGAGCCAGTTTGAGCAGAAGAAGCGGTTAACGAGACAAACTGACCAGATTTATCATGAGGAGATCAACACTGTACCTTCTGCTGGCCGTCGTGGGCTCTGGATGCGTCTCGGCTTCATCACCCGGTGAGTTTTGACTGAGTTATAATATAGTCCTCCACAGAAAGTGTTTATAGTAGTCGACATTTCAAGTGTAGTTTTTCCAAAATTGTTCTGAAAGCATCTTTACACAGTACAGAAACCAACCGAAAGCGACATAATTGTTCAAAAATAGTGTGTATACGCAAACCGTCCGCTACAAAAACCGTTTATTGCATCATAGCGCCTTGGAGCCACCATTAAACGGCTCATGTGACTATTATGACTTTCATTTGGTGACTTTTCCACCATTAATATAATTTCAATAAAATATAATTAGTTAAATAGATTTAAGCATTCATTTAGTCGTTCAAGCGTAAAACGTGATGCAATTTTAAACGCAAGCATAGGAGCAGCAGGTGAGCCTAGAAACTCCATTAAAAATACTGTGGTTCAATATATTTACATATTTTAAAGACTTGGCGCAGAACAATGGGATTTATTTCACTGCTTCTTTTCTGATCTGAGACCCACTTCATATCGAATATCAATCAGGCAGTGAAGAGAATAGAATTTTTTAAGAAACTTGATTTTAAAGACGACGTTGACGTCTTGGCATGACAGTTTACCGGAAGCACTTGAGCTGGTTTATTGAAAATTAAAAGTCTTTCTGCATAAACCCCATTCTGAACAAACACGGCTGTGTAAAGATGCTTTTAAGACAATAGTGTTGTTTGTGATCCAATTCTACACTTAAAATCCACCAAGTTACTTTGATACAGGAGGAAATTAGCCTAATAATTTCTAAGAAATCATGTTTCCTTTTGTAAAACATGATGAGAATGAATAAATATTCATTTCAGTATTTTGTGATTCTCAGATGTTTCCTGTTTGTTTTACAATAAGGAATTGAATTATGGCATGTTGATGTCTGCTCTGTCGACTTTTTTTGATTAAAAAAAAATCAGGGCTGTTTATTAAAGAGAAATGTTTTAGTAGTTAAAAACGATATATTGTGTAAGACCTAATATATAATTATTTGTTAAATACTTGAAGTACTTGCAGTTTATTAGCAGGTTTTTGTACCGTAATTTATACAACAACCCAGACAATGTACCACTTCAGTCTAATAAAAATGTCAATAAAGTCTCTTTTTTTCAAACGTTTCTTAATGTAGTTAAACTTCTTTATTCTGTGAACATTACAATAATGAAAGGATCTGTTTGAATTCTGTTTTATAATTCTGCAAACTTTATTAAAATGTGACTTTTGAATCTGAAACCAGCAGTAAAACTGTCTTCTATTGACTTAGCATGAACGCTGTTAGAACATTAGCCAGAGTTGAGATAATGTTTCCTGTTAACTACAACAGTTTGCCATACTGTGAGATCAGGAAATGTAACCAACCTCATGTCAAATACTATAGTAAATATTTATATTAGTATTTTTTAACCATACTATCCTATAATATATAATACTGTGGATATTATAGCATTTACATCACTTTTTAATAAACACCACAGCACACTGTAGTATTAACTATATAGTGAACTGATAAACTGTATTCCCAGTGATGGGTTGCAGCTGGAAGGGCATCTGCTGTGTAAAACATATGCTGGATAAGTTGGCGGTTCATTCCGCTGTGGCTACCCCTGATAAATAAAGGGATTAAGCTGAAGGAAAATGAATGATAATCTGTAATAACTATTGTAGTATACCTTAGTTTTACTACAGTAAACTGTGGTGCATTGTAGTATATCATACCCTATAGTTGAAGAAAAGTTCAGTATTGAGTATTTGTTTATTGGGTAACCAGCAACTACAGTATCACCACAACAGATTAATTTAAGTACTTTACTATAGTATAGCTCAAAATCACTATAGTATGCTATTTAATATAAATTACTATAGTATTTTTTGTCATGTAACAGGTCTTGTGAAGTGATTTGAAATGTGCATTTTTATTCAGTGTTTGATGTAGGGCAGGGCATATATTAGCCCCTCCCCCTTTAAAAAAAACAGCCAATAGAGTTTTGTTGTATCACTGCTCTGCCTGTGAGAGTAGTTAAGCTCAAGTGCATCAAATGAGATGGGGGCGGGGCATGTCAGACACTAGAGAGCATCTGATTGGTTGGATGATTTGATGAGAAACTGAAGTATGAGGTGACTCCGATTATTCATTTATATTAGTGTTTATATCAGTTTTATATCTTCTAAACGCAAATGTTGTCATTGTTCTGGAGCACACTAGCTTATAGATATTAAAACTACTGATGCTAACATCTAAATAACGTTATTTTTAATTTCACACGACCTTTAAGCATGTCCAAAATTATGAAAACCACTCCAGTTAAATAGTTTAAATCCTTATTTTAACCTTTTGTTTAAATAAATATTGCTTTTTTTATCTTTGACCAGATATTTGACAACTTTTGACAAGATATTAATGATTAATCATTTCTGTTTTTCCTCAGGCCCAAAATGCACAGGTCAAAAAGATGAAGGAACGGGAACAGAAAAGATTAAGAAATATTTCTATGATCTGCAAGCAGATTCCTGTGTGCCCTTCTACTTTAAGGGAACAGGCGGGAACGGCAACCGATTCGACAGCGATAAAGAGTGTGTGAAAGCATGCTCTCCTAAAGCCCTCCAGATTTACCCCACTGATGGTAAAACTCACAGTAAAACACAGAGCATGTGTTCGGTTTAGAGCAATTCCATGTCGACAATGCAATTAAAAGAGTTGTTTGTGTAGGCTTGTATTGTACAGCACTTTAAAAATACTCAAAAATGTCTCTGTAAAATACATACAGAATATATATAGTCACTGGCCACTTTATTAGGTACAGCTTACTAGTACCCGGTTGGACCCCTTTTGCCTTCAGAACGGCCTTAATCCTTCATGGCACAGACTCAACAAGATACTGGAAATATTCCTCAGAGATTTTGCTCCATATTGTCATGATAGCATCACACAGTTGCTGCAGATTTGTCGGCTGCACATCCATGATGCCAATCTCCCGTTCCACCACATCCCAAATGTGCTCTATTGGATTCAGCTCTGGTGACTGTGGAGGCCATTTAAGTACAGTGAACTCATTGTCATGTTCAAGAAACCAGTCTGAGATGACATGGTGTGTTATCCTGCTGGAAGTAGCCATCAGAAGATGAGTACACTGTTGTTACATCACCACCAGCAGCCTGAACTGTTGATACAAGGCAGGATGGATCCATGCTTTCATGTTGTTGATGCCAAATTCTGACCCGACCATCTGAATGTGGCAGCAGAAATGAAGACTCATCAGAGCAGGCAACGTTTCTCCAATCTTCTATTGTCCAGTTTTGGTGAGGCTGTGTGAATTGTAGCCTCAGTTTCCTGTTCTTAGCTGACAGGAGCGGCACCCGGTGTGGTCTTCTGCTGCTGTAGCCCATCTGCTTCAAGGTTGGACGTGTTGTGTGTTCAGAGATGCTCTTCTGCAGACCTCGGTTATATCGAGTGGTTATTTGAGTTACTGTTGCCTTTCTATCAGCTGGAACCAATCTGGCCATTCTCCTCTGACCTCTGGCATCACCAAGGCATTGCGCCGATGGAACCATTTTCACTTTTTTGGACCATTTTCTGTAAACCCTAGAGATGGTTGTGCGTGAAAATCCCAGTAGATCAGCAGTTTCTGAAATACTCAGACCAGCCCGTCTGGCACCAACAACCATGCTGACAACATACTGAATCCCAACATACTGAATCCCCTTTCCTTCCCATTCTAATGCTCGGTTTGAACTGCAGCAGATCATCTTGACCATCTCTACATGCCGAAATGCATTGAGTTGCTGCCATGTGATTGGCTGATTAGACATGTGCATTAACAAGTAGTTGGAGAGGTGTACCTAATAAAGTGGCCGGTGAGTGTATATATATATATATATATATATATATATATATATATATATATATATATATATATATATTATATATATATATATATATATATATATATATATATAAAGAGACAAAAATAATAATAAAAAGATTCCTTTTTTCCAACAATATATATATATAAATTATATTAAATTTATATATATATTTGTTGTTGTTGTTCTATAGTGAGCCAATATGATCCTTAATTAACAGAATTTCTACAAATTATGTTAATAAAAACCTAATTCTGTCACGTTCATAACACAATGTAAAGCAGATTGATATTTTTTGATCCCTTAACTTTGAATTTATATTTTAAGTTTTTACAGTAAACGTCACATCCATAACCCTGAAACTGCTCTTTACACTGAGATCTTCTCTCTTGCCTTCATGTTCATCAGAAACATCAATTTGCTCAATGGAGATGGATGAAGGAACCTGTTTCGCTTTATTTCCCATGTATTATTACAACGCTGAGGAGAAGATCTGCCGCATGTTCATATACAGAGGCTGCAGAGGAAATGCCAACCGATTCGAGTCTCGAGAAGAATGTCAGCAGACCTGTCTCGGTCAGTTCAAGACTCTTTTTACAGCTTTTTAATCAGCTTTGCTTCTACTTTTGTTGCTCACATTGTTAATAATTAGTTAATTGTGTGATAAATAGTTAATAATGTTGGCGCAGTAGGTGGTGCTGTCGCCTCACAGCAAGAAGGTCGTTGTTTCGAGCCTCGGCTGGGTCAGTTGGTGTTTCTGTGTGGAGTTTGCATGTTCTCCCTGCATTCGCGTGGGTTTACTCCGGTTTCCATCACAAGTTCAAAAACATGCGGTACAGGTGAAGTGGGTAGGCTAAATTGTCTGTAGTGTATGAGTGTAAATGAGTGTGTATGGATGCTTCCCAGTGATGGGTTGCATCTGCTGCGTAAAACATATGCTAGATAAGTTGGCGGTTCATTCCACTGTGGCGACCCCAGATTAATAAAAGGACTAAGCCAAAATGAAAATGAATGATATAACTTAAGCAATCTCCACTGTGCTAAGCGAGAGCGCTTCTCTTCTGTTAAACAGTCGCATCATCAGTGACGTAAGCATGACTTCGAAAGGCTCAAAAGTGAAGATGCAGTGTGAGTGCAGGCCATCAGGGAAGAGGGATGGGGGCACAACCGCGCTTCAGCACGGTTCAAGTGAAGCGTGCCTAGTGAGAGTACGGCCTTCTACTCTGGAATGTCTGAAATTCTTTGATGATGTCATTTTGACAGACTGGTAGAAATATGATTAGCCACACCCCTCACTTAGAGTGAACGATGAGAATAAAAAGACTAAACTAAACCCCGCCCCCCTACTCAATATTCCGTTTGAAATTCATCAAACATCAGTCCACAAGAGAGCTGCCTCCATCCTGAAAGAGCCCTCGCACCCACTACACAAAATATTCAGACTCCTGCCCTCAGGGCGAAGGAGATGCAGGACTGCCAGACTCAAGAACTCTCCATCAGCTATCAGACTTTTAACTGGATAACCAGTGGACATAAACGGTTTCATTTCTTGCTCAGTAGCACACTATATTCTTCATTCCAGTTTGCACTATAAATGCATGCAATTGCACTCAATCTGCTCCGGCCGTTATACTGTTGTTTGCACATACGCCAATTGCACTAGACACTTTTTGCATAATAAGCACAATTTTAAACAACTACTATACATTGTTTACATCTGTTTACATTACTCCACAATCAGTATTATATAATATTTACATTCATAGATATTTATAATATATATACAAACACATTTCATAGTTATACTTCTGTCATTTCTCTGTATGTATGTGTGTGTGTGTGTGTGTGTGTGTGTGTGTACACACACACACACACACACACCCCCACACACATACATACATACATACATACATACATACACACACACATGCACACACATTTCATAGTTATACTTCTGTCATTTCTGTATGTATATATATATGTGTGTGTATGTGTGTGTGTGTGTGTGTGTGTGTCGTGTATGATGTGTATATTATGTGCATGACTTCACTGTGGACATTGTACAGGGAAATGCGTTTCCTTACTGTGCACGTGTAACTGAACATCACACTGAAATAAAAGTCTGCAGCAACTTCCAGTTCACATGGACCTTATCCAGTTTTAAGTTTATGTATTCACTGTGTACATACAACAATTGGAGCTGAAGTTCTGACCTGTTCCTGTTGTGAGCAGATTAGTTCCACATTAAATTATGCGAGTAACTGGATCTAATAAAGAGTCATTTCTTAAATGTTAAATAAACAAATAAAGTCAAAAGAGGATGTCAGATATTACTGCTATAAGATGATAATTGAAAGATGATATACATTCACCAGCCACTTATTTAGGTACTTACTAGTACCAGGTTGGACCCTGTTCTGCCTCTTAATCCTTCATGGCATGGATTCAACAAGGTTCTGGAAATATTCCTCAGAGATTTTGCTCCATATTGTCATGATAGCATCACGCAGTTGCTGCAGATTTGTCGACTGCACATCCATGATGCCAATCTCCCGTTTCACCACATCCCAAAGCTGCTCTATTGGATTGAGAACTGATGACTGTGGAGGCCATTTGAGTGCAGTGAACTCATTGTCATGTTCAAGTAACCAGTCTGAGATGATTCACGCTTTATGACATGGTGCGTTATCCTGCTGGAAGTAGCCATCAGAAGATGGAGACACTGTGCTCATAAAGGGATGGACATGATCAGCAACAATACTCAGGTAGACTGTGGTGTCGACACGATGCTCAATTGGTACTAATCGGCCCAAAGTGTGCCAAGAAAATCTCCCCCACACCATTACACCACCAGCAGAAGCTTGAACCATTGATTTAAGGCAGGATGGATCCATGATTTTATGTTGTTAACGGCAAATTCTGACCCGACCATCCGAATGTCTGATAAGCAGAAATCAACTCATCAGAGCAGGCAACGTTTCTCCAATCTTCTATTGTCCAGTTTTGGTGAGTCTGTGTGAATTGTAGCCTCAGTTTCCTGTTCTTAGCTGACAGGAGTGGCACCCGGTGTGGTCTTCTGCTGCTGTAGCCCATCCGCCTCAAGGTTGGACGTGTTGTGTGTTCAGAGATGCTCTTCTGCAGAGCTCGGTTGTAACGGGTGCTTATTTGAGTTACTGTTGCCTCTCTATCAGCTCGAACCCTAGAGATGGTTGTGCATAAAAATCCCAGTAGATCAGCAGTTTCTGAAATACTCAGACCAGCCCGTCTGGTCATGCCGTGTTCAAAGTCACTTAAATCCCCTTTCTTCCCCATTCTGATGCTCGCTTTGAACTGCCGCAGATCATCTTGACCATGCCTAAATGCATTGAGTTGCTGCCATGTGATTGGCGGATTAGTTAACGAGCAGTTAGACAGGTGTACCTAATAAAGTGGCCGGTGAGTGTACATGATTATTTTGACAGCATGATATAATTTCAGTCTGACTAAAATACTGAAGTCCTTAGAGGCCATACAATATTAATAGTAATGGGGACCAAAGTTGAGGCCCTGATGTGTAAACATGCGCATAAATCACACAGGATGAAGCATTCTGAACGTAAGGGTGCAGATTGTTTCCAGTGAGTGTGCAGAGTGTGTGTTCCTCTGTTGTCCAGCAGAGGTCAGTGTGTCTTAATATCTGCATGTGTTTCGACAGCGCGCTCTGGCCGACTGATGGGAGCTGCAGATCTGCCCAACCCTGATGAGAAGACTGTTGATGCAGGTTAGACATCATCATCATCATCATCATCATCATTAACCCACTGCTGTTCTCACAACATGTTTCAGAGCTGTAAATAAAGTGTGTGTGTGTGTGTCTCTCAGGGCTGATTGTGGGGGTTCTGGGTGGGCTTGTGTTTGCCGGTGCCGTCATTGCTGCAGTCGTCATGTTTGTGCTCCAAAAGTAAGTACTGAAATGGGAAATGGTGGCAATACAGCTCTTTTACCATGTAATATTATCCAGTGTATCTAAAGCTGTTCTTTTCATTAATAGGAAAAGCAAGAAGTCCGAGAGGAAGCCGGTGCCGACATCTGATATTGAGCTGAAGTAGATCTGTCTGTTCACAGCATTAGTCTCTCTGTACATACACTCCTCCTGCTTTTGTACCATTTATACTACAGCCACGTTAGAAAAGTCATTCAACAAGGGGTTAAACTGTTAGATGTAGGCCATGTGTCGTCTATGAAATGTTGTTTGACTGTAAGAGTTCAGTAATGTTCTGTTAATCATTAAACAGTCCTCCTGTTTGTTTTATACCGCAGCAGATTTGACATGTACTTACTAAGATGATGCATTGATGATGTAACAAATAAATCTCTCCTTTTTTGTTCTACACTGCTTTAATACGTTATTTACAAGATTTAAGAGAAGACTTTGGTGTCTCCAGAATGTGTCTGCAAAGTTTCAGCTCAAAATACCTATCGGATTATTTATTATAGCCTCCAGAAGCTGCCCATTTTGCTGTCTGAGGTTGTTTTCCCATGACCTTATTGATGAGCTGCGAAATTCAGATGGAGGGTGGGAAGTTGTTCTTCTACATATAAATCGCTATCATAACATCAAAATATTTCTGTTTTATGTTGTTTATAATTGTTTATAGAACAGTTCTGTCTGGTTCTCGAATTTGATTTAAGTAATATCAAAGAGCTTAGAGAATGACCAAGAGGCGACACTCTAGTGTAATTTGGTAAACAGCCACTAGAGGGCGCGGCGGCCATTTTGGAATGAAAACTCCAACAGAACTACAGCAAATTATAAGTCTGTGAAATAAACTATTAAAAGTGCTGATGATTGTGATAATAAGTGTTGTATTGTCGTCTTTTAGGTTGTATCTCAGCTTTAATATGCTTTTTAAATGGATAAATAAAAAACAAAGTAGCTGCTTGCCATCGCAAAAGTAATGAGATCCAATGGACGGCCGATCGCTTTCACTCCAAAATGGTGGAATCCAAGGCTGTTACTGAGCGCTGCTGTTGCAATGGAACGTTCTATTGAGTGTCGCCTCTTAGTCATTCTAAGCTCTTTGGTAATATCAGCACCTGTACAGCCTCTTTACCCTTTTTGTATTACTCCGCCCACATACAGCCAGCAACAAGCAGACTCTACAGATCTAAAGTGTCGTTAGAATCTTCAAAAGATGCCTGCTCAGCTGTTTAACTGTCAGCTTATGATTTGAATCCAATGCGGAAGAAAGTAGTTCCTCATACAAAAGGGTTTTTGAGACTCTCCGTGTTTAATTTTGTTTTTATATACACAATTTTGCAGTCAAACTGTTGTATAAACGCAATATCACACGAGTAGCAGTGCGATATGGCTGTATATCGGCACTGGTGGTTGCACTAAGCATTGCACGCCTCCCACCAGTGCCGATATACAGCCATATCACACTACTACTCGTGTGATATTGCTCATTTAAATCAGCCAAAATAAGAAATGCCGGACAGCTTTTATAGACCTCCAGAAGTTTTTACTCATAAAGGGGGAAAGTTCAAGAAACTGGCTGAAAACCGGAAGAAAAGTCAGCATGTAATAAACATTTCTTCAATACATCCATGTGTGCAAACTCTTTTTTAATTGCGATAATTCGTTTGACAGCACCATTAAAGATTATAAACAGGCCTAACTATGTGTATAAATATGTTAATGTGTTATATGCAAATCAGACAAACACCTATACAAAATCCATGAGAATATAAATAACATACCCTGCCGTGTGTTGCAATGAAATCTCCGTCTGGTTTTGCGATAATTAAAGTTTTTACTGGCGTTTTGGTGGAATAAACAACCATAGCGTGAACATCTTAGGTTAAACCCAGAAGTTTACATCCACCGTATAAAAAGGCACATAATTATTTAAGAAGTCAGATGTTGATGTGACTAAACTTTTTCTCTTTTAGGTAAGTTTGGATTATCAACGTAGTTTCTGCTTATTAGCAGAATAATGAGAGATATATTTGTTGAGAAATTGTTCTATTTTTTCTTGAATGTCAAGTTTACACGCAATAAGATTATTCTGCCTCTGAAACAGCTCAGATGATGGGGTCAAGGCTTTGGAAGTTTCTGATTGGCTAATTGACAACATTTGAGTTAATTGGAGGCACAACTGTAGAATAGTGTTGAGGGAAAACCTCAAACACACTGCTTCCTTGTGTGACAACATGAGAAAATCAACAAGCCAGAATCAACAACAAAGCCAGATTACAGTTAGCTAAATTACACTGGGAAAAAGAATAATGTTTGGAGACATGTCCCGTGCTCTAATGTATAATAATGACTAGTGTTACATCTGGAGGACAAAGGGGAAAGCTTACAAGCCTAGGAACACCATCCCAACTGTGCAGTATGGGGGCGGCAGCATCATGTTGTGGGGCTGTTTTGCTGCAGGAGGGACTGGTCCACTTCACAGCAGTTTCTTTCTTTTATTAAATATTTCCCAAATGATGTTTAACAGAGCAAGGAAATTTTCACAGTATGTCTGATAATATTTTTTTTCTTTTGGAATAAGTCCTATTTGTTTTATTTTAGCAATAATAAAAGCAGTTTTTAGTAAAAAAAAAAAAAAAAAAAAAGGAGCAATATTATTAGCCCCTTTAAGCTATATTTTTTTCAATAGTCTACAGAACAAACCATCAGCATACAACAACTTGCCTAATTAACCTGCCTAGTTAACCTAATTAACCTAGTTAAGCCTTTAAATGTCACTTTAAGCTGTATAGAAGTGTCTTGAAAAATATCTAGTCTAATATTATTTACTGTCATCATGGCAAAGATAAAATAAATCAGTTATTAGAGATGAGTTATTAAAACTATTGTATAAAAATGTGTTGAAAAAAAATCTGCTCTCCGCTAAACAGAAATTGGCGAAAAAATAAACAGGGGGGCTAATCATTCTGACTTCAACTGTAAATGAATTAGGTCATGGAGGAAGCATCTAAATTACTCCAGTAAATTCCAGTAATTTACTCTGGGACGGGTGTCAATTCTCCATCACATGATCAATTACATCATCGAGAATATGATGACGTGTTTCCATAAAACACATCAGTCACAGATACTGGAAAAATGTAAGAATCATTAACCTGTAGTGAACACTGTATCCAGATTATTCACCTGATTATTGTGTGTGTGTGTGTGTGTGTGTGTGTGTGTGTGTGTGTGTGTGTGTGTGTGTGTGTGTGTGTGTGTGTGTCTTTAATCTGAACGTCCACATGATTATGCTCAGACTCACTTCAAAACAATATTCTTTGTACTTATTTATATCAGTAAAGCTGTTTTAGTTTAGTAGCTATTTAGTAATTATACATTTCAGTGATATGCAGTTACGGGGAAAAAACAATAGTAAGTAAACACTTGAACATTTAATTTGACTGGATTTACTGGATTTATTGGAGTAAAATTGTATTGTTAGTTTTATTCTAAAAAGATCAAATAATAAAATATTAGGCTACATTTAGGTTTTGACGTCACGTGACCAAAATTCAATGTCTAGCCAGCGTCTAAAGACAACATTATTTTGACATCCAATAATGACGACAAATGACGTTGATATTTGGTTTATTTTAGGTTGGATGTTGATGTTGCGATTTGTGTTCTGAAGTCAACCCGATTTTCTTTTCTAAGCAAAATGCAACAACCCCGCGATATTGGGGTACAATGTCAATCTGACCTTATGTTGACATCCTGTGCCTGCTGGGTGTGTACAGTCACCGGCCACTTTATTAGGTACACCTCTCCAACTGCTGGTTAACACAAATGTCTAATCAGCCAATCACATGGCAGCAACTCAATTCATTTAGGCATGTAGACATGATCGAGATGATCTGCTGCAGTTCAAACCGAGCATCAGAATGGGGAAGAAATGGGATTTTAGTGACTCTGAATGTAGCATGGTTGTTGGTGTCAGACGGGCTAGTCTGTGTATTTTAGAAACTGCTGATCTACTGGGATTTTCACGCACAACCATCTCTAGGGTTTACAGAGAATGGTCTGACAAAGAGGAAATATCCAGCGAGCGGCAGTTCTGTGGGCGCAAATGTCTTGTTGATGCCAGAGCTGCTGATAGAAAGGCAACAGTAACTCAAATAAGCACTCGCTACAACCGAGGTCTGCAGAAGAGCATCTCTGAACACACAACACGTCCAACCTTGAGGCGGATGGCCTACAGCAACAAAGGACCACACCGGGTGCCGCTCCTGTCAGCTAACAACAGGAAACTGCAGCTACAATTCACACAGGCTCACCAAAACTGGACAATAGAAGATTGGAGAAACGTTTCCTGCTCTGATGAGTCTCCATTTCTGCTGCCACAATCAGATGGTCGGGTCAGAATTTGGCATCAACATCATGAAAGCATGGATCCATCCTGCCTTGTATCAACAGTTCAGGCTGCTGGTGGTGCTGTAATGCTGAGGGGGGTATTGTTTGGCACACTTTGTGCCCATTAGTACCAATCATCCTGTCAACGCCACAGCCTACCTGAGTATTGTTGCTGACCATGTCCATCCCTTTATGACCACAGTGACCACTTCCAGCAGGATAAAACACCATGTCATAAAGCGTGAATCATCTCAGACTGGTTTCTTGAACATGACAATGAGCTCACTGTACTCAAATGGCCTCCACAGTCACCAGAGCTCAATCCAATAGAGCCCCTTTGGGATGTAGTGGAATAGGAGATTGTCATCACGGATGTGCAGCCGACACATCTGCAGAACTATGTGATGCTATCATGTCAATATGGAGCAAAATCTCTGAGGAATATTTCCAGTATATTTTTGAATCTATGCCAAGAAGGATTAAGGCAGTTCTGAAAGCAAAAGGGGGTCCAACCCGGTCCTAGTAAGGTGTACCTAATAAAGTGGCCGGTGAGTGTATATGTTTTTTTTGTATGTTTAGATTTTTTGTTTTTGTTTTAGATTATATAGTAGTAGTAGTAGTAATAATAATAATAATAATAATAATAATAATAACAATTATTATTATTATTATTAAATAAAGGTTGTTCTAAATTAAATTCAGCTAAGCCGTACTGTACCTTTTCTAAATTTACTCTACTTCAAATTTATTCCATTTATTTTAAAATAACACCGAGCTGCAGATGTTTCAGTTCCTCATTTTTTCGAGCTGTCACACACTTTCATAAGACACGTAACTTAGCGCTTCAACATAAGGTTACTTTAAGTTCTTCTGTTTGCTAAATATTTAACCTTTATGCTGGAAGCGGGAATAAATATGCGTGAACTATGACTTTAAATCTGACGCAAACAAGGGGTTAACGATAGTGTTTATTAGCCGAGGGCGGAGAGAGAGAGAGAGAGAGAGAGAGAGAGAGAG